TCTAAGTACGAACAGGAATTAGAGTTGACATTCAACACGGTACATTGAAGAACGTTGTCATCAGTTTCCACAGAGAAGTTGAATCCAGCAGTTCCGTTCCTTCCGTACAGACTATAAGCTACCTTGCAGTTCTCGAATCTCGAATCGTTCTCTCGAACCGACTTCTGGTCGGCTTTGTCGACGAAATTGTTCGAATACTGCGTGTGAGTTTATTCTCTGGAAAGATTTGATGGTAGGAAACGCGTGAAGTGAGCAACTACTTGAAGTAAATTAGGAAAGCAGGGAGCGGAGCAGCGAGCCAATCTTTTATCGGATCTGAACTAGGGAATTCTCGTTGGCTACAGTCGCGTAGCCAGCAAGAAGAATGGGAAAGTTTCTTGTAGGATACCCCAGGACATATTTTCAAAAGCAAAGTCAGTCACGCTCGACCTTACTTGCTAAGTGAACTCAAGAGACTCGGAAGTCAGTGCAAAACGTCATGATGCACGCAGTGGAAAGCAATGCCGTATTGAATTTCGCAGCTCAGGCTGCACTTCTGATTCACAAACCCGATACGCAGCTGTTCTATCACGAGAAGCTGTATAGCTTTTGGTCAGAATTCTTGACGAACAAGTAGAGAAGATTTTCTAGGTCCAAACTAGGTCCAAACTACAATTGATATGCCCTGTGTCTCAAAGCTGGACGTGCCACCATCCCTCAAAACGCAGAGCAACATCCATATGTGGACTCCGATCTTTAAAGGGTCGGGAGAACAAAGCCCAATCCGTGCAGACTCTGATAATCAGTTTCTCACTCTGAGTTGTGATGTGCGCATCAAACTTGACAAATGACCCGAATTTTGTGACGATACTGAATAATTTAGTTTCATGAGCAGAAACTTGAACATACTCAACAGCGGAGAAGTTTGATTAATCAGAGCCATCCAGAAGAAATCAATTCCCGGGCCTGATTATTATCGTTCAACATCCCTGGGAACGTTCGTGAAGGTGATAAGGAAATCAACGGCAACGTAAACATGAAAAAAGAGTCCCGAGAGATCAATTTGAAGAAAGTAGCTAAGATTGAATCTTCCGGCACCGTGCAAGATCCGTCATCTTCCATACAGATTATGAAAGGTGTCCCTAACTTGAAATATATTCTTGAAAGGCCACGGACGACTTCAAGTATCACAAAGTAGGTCCGCATGTATCCAGGGTACATAACGAACGGGGTGTTGTAGAACACGACAATGGATGGATCGATAATTGATCAGAAAATATGCACATCATGGACTTATGTTGTTCTGCTCGTGGAAGATATGAACGTCACATGAACGCAAATCAGGATGAATACATCTAAATACATATGTATCAATGACCTGATCAGCATTTTCATATAGACAGGAACAGGTTTGCTGCATGAATCGGTAAAATCGATGCTGGCAAATCAGTAACACAGACGCGACTATACATATTGTTTTCTTCCCCGCTTAACTGCATTGTGAACATATATTCCAGTCTGTTCTCAAATGAGATTGAGGCGTCAAGAAGCAAATGAGAAGGACGATGAGGATATGAAAAAACCAAAAGTACTAGTCCACTGTCAGGTTCAGGAACTTCAGCAGTCCCTTTTCTTGTTTTACCAACGTACAGCCGTGGGCCGGGAGAAGTGGCGAGAAGAGTCCTTGTCGTCGTGATCATGTCACCCAACATTCCTCTACTGTCTCTCAACCTCTTCTTGCATTTGATTGACTCAACAAATGAACTTGTCTCTACATCTACATAATTATTACTCTTCCTTTTATGCCTTTATTATGCCTTCCACTTTCCATTACCTTCAGCCAAGTCGTCCGTGGGTTAGTGCGTTATGATAGCTTGATATTAGTGGCGTACAGCTTCAGCTCCATCTTTTAAGATGAATTCTTTCTTTACCATGATAATGCACATCGTTGAAGGTTACGGCGATGGCCACCGTCTTCAGGCACTGCCAAACAATCATACATACTTGCAGTCCATCATCACCTCAGTTATGAAGAGGAGACCACGCACGTACATTGCAGATTTATGATGTACTCATGGATCACAAGCACATCAGTCTTATCCTTCTGAACTGGCTGCTTCGTGTCCTGTCATCTGCTTCGGTCATTATCTTCATCGGCCAAATGCCTTGCTTTTCTGACTTTCCCTTTGCATGCTTCGACTTCGAAACTCTGCGTATCCCACGCGCCGGAGTTCTTTCAATTCTAGTTTTAAACAATGAGCCGACATGAGAGCCATAACGTCGACTCTCGGTGTGCAGTCTCGAGGTCAGACCAGGAGAAGGACGTGCTTGGAATCACGCACTTCAGACTTAGGCAATCCTCGAGTGCAGCTCCACGGAACTTTGCCAGGCATACAGAAGATGATGACATCATGCGGAAAGAGGTCCAAAGTGTTGCAGCTTAGGTACTTGTCCGTAGGCCCACATTTGGAGCAAGAATGTAGCAGCCGTGGAAGATGCCGTGAGACTTCCGGTAGAACGTTTTGCCATTCCATACCTACGGTGAATTTCGTAACCACTTCGAGGAGGCTAGCGTCATAGAGGGAACCGTTCGACTGATACTCGTTAATTCAGAATATAAAGCTGTTGCTCATCTTTTTGAAAAGGCTAGTATGATGGGAACGATTCCTTTTGACCTCCTCAATAGGAACCAGTGAGGGCAAGCATGCAGGCCTTGTACAGCGCAACGGACTCAGTCTCTGGATTATCATCGGCTGAGGGGTAGGGGCATGCACCTAGATGTCCAGAATGCTTCAACTGCACCATCATCTCGTATCACTCGCCTGATAGTTTTAAGCTAGAAAAGAGAAAAGACAGTCACGATCAGAGAAGGGTGCATCGCAGTGTGCTCTGATAGGGTGCGTAGAGAATTGCACGGGGGAAAAAGTGGTATCAAGCCTTCAGCATCTGTTTTGTGTGCGATTTTATGGGACGTCCAGGCATTCGAGTGACTGGCTTTTGTCTAGTCGGTTCAGCAGGCTCAGCTTGTTCAGCTAGTCAACGAAGGCGTGGAGTTCGTACTCCTCTGCGAGGAATGTATTAATACACTCTGGCAGTACCCACATGGATTTCTGTCTTTCTGTCTATATGGATCTCGTATTTATCTCCGAAACACCCTTTGTGTCAGGACCAAGATGTAGGACGTAAGATTGCAACTGCTTTTCCCAACTTGCTCAGAGAAAGTTTTCCTCTATTACCAACTTTCACCTGGTTTGTTCGATGGCCAGCCTGACTGCACAATGGAGACTACAACTCGATAGTAGGCCGCCCGGAACCCGTTGTACATCGGTGTTGTCAGGGTAAGAAAGATTATGAGAAACTTCACAGAAGTCAACGTCGGTAGTCTTCTCGAAGACATCATAAAGACTTCGTCAACATTGTCAACATACCCCTTTCCCTTATTGCGTGATTCATGTCCTCTTGCTCTTCGACTCAGAATCTTCTGTGATAAATAAGAGAATTCCGCATAAAGTTGCCCTATCCTGGCCCGTCTTATCGCTCATCTTCAGAAACTTCAACCAAATAGCTAGGTTTGTCCTCAAAATGATGCTAGATGATTTCTAGTTCTACATTCACCCCACTACAGAACCAGATTGTTTCCCGTCTCCATTATGGCGGCTTGCCTGAAGCCATGCCTACCGAGAAAGACGTCGTCCCACAAGAGACTGTAAAAGCTGTAAACCGAAATTCCCTCCTTGCTCCGCTTGTAAAAACTTACCCTAGAAAGGTAAACAGGAACTCCTAAACTCTGTTCTGTTTCGGGCCAAAACCCAACGCAGAGCAAACGTGACATATTGATTTTGTTGTAAGTCACAATCGATAAATGTGAAGCATGGACCGAAGTTCGGCTATGGGAAGCGGAAAAGCGACGGCAACTGCGACTGTGCTCCACAAAAGAAAACATTTCCAATTTAATATAGGGTTTCCTGGTATCATCACAAACCTCGTGCCTCCCGACAATCGGATCCGTCAGATATATAGATCCCAACATCAGAAACGTTGGTACCTTAAAAAGTTCAGGGGACCGAACATTGCCAACCCTGCTCTCATATTTATTAGGCAGTTCAAACCAAGGCCTGTACTTGGCCGATACTCAATCCTGCGAATAATTGTTGACAAAGTTGTCAATTATTTCGTTATGTACTGCACTGTAGTCGAGAGACTCATTAACACATGAAATTTCGTGGTTTGCAACTTGTGTATCATTGTGGCAATCTTAGTAGCGTACTTGAGTGCTCTATCGTCATACTTCCCCTCGAGGTTGTAAAGGGCATAGTCGGGCCTGGCAAAACAGTATATCTTCCAGTGAAAAGTACAGACGTAAGCATCTGGGACGATGGAGTCTGACAAACCTTCGCGTTCTCTGCTTTTCACGCATTATGATATATTCGGATCAGTTTCAGTACCATCTTCATTTCTCTCCCTGCTAATGTGGACGGGAACGAATTCTCGAAGTCAGACAAGAATTATCCATTAGAACATACGAGATATATTCTCGGCCGAAGCATCAGCCGTTTCGCAGTGTCTATTTCGTACTGGTTATGACTGCAATTGACAGGCTGAGAATGTATGATGGTGGAGTCTAGATTCGGAACGAATTTTTTTCATTGTTGTATGCAGCAATTTCTTTTCCCGTCTTTAAATTGTGTCAGTTGTTTCTCCTCTATTTGGCGAACAGACAGGTTAAGATTGATATTTTTGCCTTTGACTGTAAAACGCTGTTGTCTATGTTAACATATTTTATTTTCTAGGCATTGGAAGATGTTTCAGTGTTGAAGAGGTCGTGAAGTTACATATTACAGTAATGTAGAAACGTCACTTTTATGAGTTTGGTAGAAATTCTCAACAATTCTTACTGTAATTAAATATCGTATAGGTGAAAAAATTTAACTATCCACAGACACAACTAATATGTCACTCCCGCGAGAAGAAATGACATCATAACCATACGTACAAAAGAGTGTAGGACAGCAATGGTAAGCGAATATAAATCACGTTATTTGAATAGAAGAGTACAGTAAGTGCTGAGCTGAATCATCTGAGTGCCATGTTGACAACTTTAGTGTCTTTTCTAGTTGCGTTGATAGCCGCATTCTCCTGGATGATTATGTAATCCGGTTCAACTCTCAGGTTTAACGCGGTATGCATTCACTTGCACATGTATGGGCCTGTAGGATTTTTCCTCTCTGCCTAATCTATTGCGACTAAATCTCATTGATATACTTTCTGTAATAAAGTATGTGAATGGTTTACATCGCTTTTCACTCGCAAGTTCGAGTTTGTTCCGAACTTTAATATATGTAAATGTACACAACCTACCAACACTGCTCACTCTTACACTTGCGTCAAGAGGCGTAAGTAGCTAATCAATATAATTTGCAGGTTGACAATCGTGGCTTGGGCACCAGCTGCAAGGGCTCAGTTTTGTAGCAAGTGAGACCAAATGTCTCGTTCATATCAATGTCTTCGCGCTTTTGCCAAGCAGGTAGTTCGAAGTCGAAGCTGTGAAGTAGGCGAGAGAGTGTCAGCTGCACCATGGACAACCCCAAGCTCATTCCTGGGCATATCCGCCTGCCCGAGCCAAAAGGCAGGAGCTCAAAATTTTGCCCTCTGCAGTCGATTTGTGACTCAAGAAATCGTTCTGGGAGAAAATCCAGCGCCCTATCCCACACTGTTGGATCCCTGCCAATTGCGAACACATTCACATATAGACGAGTTTTGGCAGGAATGTTGTAGCCCTGCAATTTGCACGCCTCAATGGACTCGTGAGGAAGTAGCAACGGGGCCGGAGGGTGGAGACGGAGTGTCTCCTTGACAATGGCGTAGAGGTAGGGGAAGTTCGGGAGATCAGATTCCTCCACTTTGCGCTCAGTCCCAACGACTGATTCGATCTCTTCCTGCACCCTCTTCATTTTCTCGGACTCTTTAATGAGTTCAGTCAAAGCCCACTCGATCGTACTAGAGGACGTATCCACTCCTGCAGTCAAAATATCCTGATAAAGCAAAAAATTAGCGCACACATCACCGACAAACCTAGGCCATGATAGAAAGAGAAGTGCATTGCACAAGATACAATTCCACAGATCTTGACTGTTGCCGAGACTCTGAGCTACAAGCTACTCACCAGCATGACTGCTACTACTTTCACATCACTCAGCTTTCCATCCTCGCCGGCGGGAAGAGACAACAGTACGTCCAACAAGTCTGTGGACTGTGCCAGCTCCCTCTTCTCCTTCCGATGCTCGTCGATCATTTGGTAAGCAACGTCGTCGAATCTTCGAACGGCAGCTCTCATGCGCTTCTCGTAACCTTGCAGGTCGAAACGTCGGAGGCTTGGAAAATAGTCACCCAGATTGTTCACAATGCCGGACAGAACGAAAATCTCCTGAATAATGTCACGGAACTTCTTGGACTCGGCTGCAACATCGGCCCCGCAGCCCCAACGGATGACGCTCTTGCCCATGGCCATCCGCGTCACGACATTCAATGTGAGCTGCGTGAGCTTCAGGCTCATAGTCACAGCGTTGCCGGAGTGGGACTCCTCCAGCATGTTCTGCACCAGGGACGAGGTTTCCTCGTTCCTCATGTACTGAAACGACTCGAGTCGCTTCGGAGTAAACAGCTCCAGCAGGCAGATCTTTCGCATCGATCTCCAATGCGCGCCGTAGGGAGCACCGGCGACGTCCTGAAAGTTGTGGGAGAAAATCTCGACGCAGGCCCCATTGGTACGTGACGCAAACGCTCGGTCGTGAATTTTGAGAACCTCCTTCGCCATGGCAGCAGAGCAAACGACGAGCGCATCCGTGCAACCCATGCGGAGGTGAAACAAGGGACCATACTTTTGTCCTAGCTTGAACATGTCCATGTGAGGCTGCGCCCCCAGAAGGTGGAGATGCCCGAATATTGGGTACCCAGGAGGCGTTGGCGGCCAGCTCGACGCAGCTTTGCGTTTGGGATTCATCAGGTAGTACAGCCTATACATCACGGCTGCTGCCACTGAGCCAGCTGCTAGCGAGGCGGCTATGAGAAGCAGGTAGCCCTGCTTGAGCACCCACGATGTGGAATTGGGATCCATTTCGACAATGCGGCTCGCTGAGGCTGCTCTCGGGTCTCGACTTCACCTCGGTGCTGTGGACACTACGCTTCGTCACTCACACCAGTACTCTCTCCACTATCGGTAGACCGTATCCTCACAGCTTTTTGACATGAAAATCTCCAAAATCTGAGGTCCGCGCCGATCGACTTGTGCCGAAATCGCTCTGATCGGCTACCACTTCCGACCCACGCAGGCTCGCTCGTAACGGTGAAAGGAAAACAGCTCGTTTGCCTTCGGTCCTGCGACGTTGCTCCGTGTGCAAGCAGGTGACAACTGGTGAGGGGCAGATGCTATGTCGTCGACGAGGAAGTCGACCGACGCCAAGAGGGCATATTGTGATGAGAATGCAGGCGACGACGAGGTGGTAATCAGAGCCAGAGATGGCTGCGCTGCGCGTTCCCGAATGCACCCGGGCTTCCGCGAGGTCAGGGACGCAGCCAGCTACTGAAAGTGGACGAAGCCTGGTGCATGCCAAGAACTGAATGCTAACTGCCGCTCGAATGCGTCGGGAGCACCGAGATGTGAGTATCAGCACTCGAAACCTGCTTAACTTCCCGCTCGAGTCAAGCCAGCTCCAGATACCATCTGAGCTACCTCAGCTGCGAAATCAGTCGGCCTTGCGCTGAGAATTCCTCGACACGAAGACCTTACCGTAACTTCTTCAGCAATCTGAGGGCTTGTCCGTAAGACTGGAACAACGTTCGCCGAGGATCTTGGGGCGAGCTGAGAGGACGGACGTCTAATGCAGGAAGGGAGGAGGGGAACGCGAGAGTGGAAGAATTGGGGGATTCACCGACGGCAGACTCTGAGTGATTGACGACTTGGAAGTTGTCAATGATGCCATAATATAGGCAAAGCTCGGGCGGAAGCCGGGCTGCTGTAGGGCTCGTGCTGTAGGGAGATCTTTTCGCCAGGAGCCGGGAAGAGTATCAGTCAGCATGCACATGCACGCAGGGGACCCTGGTCCAGCTGCGAGCTGCAAGCCCGGAGCCGCTAATTACTCCTCGGCAGTGCGCGCGGGCAGCTAATCAAAGGCGGTCAGATAATTGTCTAACCAGTAGTGCATGTCTCGACTCATCACCGGTCGCAAATCAAGCACGAGTTACAGTTCACGTCTGGCATCGGTGCAGCAGCAGGTCGCATATCGCGGGGGGCTGGAGATCTAGAGAAAACGACGAAAGAAAATTCTATTATTAGAGATCAACGAACTCTACAGTTTGAATGCTACCGTCTGCGCTCTCGCTCCCTGGGCTCCCCTCCCCACAGTGACCTGCTGCGTTCCCAGCCGGTAGCTCCGAGCTCCACTCCTCCTCCTCCTCCTCCTCCTGGTGCTGCAGGCATCTCAGATTCGCGACTCATTTCGTCGTATCTCGCTCTCGCATCTGTAGGAGAATTACGCATCCGCTCTCTTTACTTCTATCTCTCTGCCCTTGCGGGCGGTCTTAAAACGGCACCCCCTCCTTGGCAGCACCTTGCGCTGTAGCACAAATCCACAGGTAGCTTCGTAAACTTCCCACGATCGGCATTTGATGACTTATGGATCGCCCGTCAACTCCTCACTTTACTGCTTTGTTTTCTCCCTATCTGTTGTCATGCGCCTCCACCCCGCCCTCGCATCCTCGCGCTTGTTACTTTATTGAGCTCTAAGCATATGAGCTACAAGCCAACCTGGACCGACAGCGCTTAATGATGGCACCCGTCGCCGTTGTCATCTACTCGGGAACTGTAATGTCGCCTTTCGCATGGCAAATCACATTTACCGGTCTCTTCACTATCCGAACTCTTCTCCGTCCAAAAGCGGACGAGTGATTGGCCTTGTGCTCTTGTATGTAGGAACTCTCCTCTGCTGCCTCGGATTTTTTTTTCCAGTCCTCAGAAAATCCTTGCGGACGAACTCATAGTTGACGCCGAGTCAACGACACGTACCAAAGCGGGAACCACAGGGCTCGGCTCTGATATTATATGAAGCCAATACAGAGCTCTGTAATGTCCTGCGTTAACCTGAGATATAGTTGAATGACGGTGTTAAGGAAGGGATTTGTCAATGCTAAAGAAACACGTATGCGCCTCTGAACCTCAGCACAGGTATACATACATACAGGGGAGTTAGGAGCAGGAGCGTCACAGGCTGACGTGCAATTTGTATAGTAACTGCAATCACAGAACTCAAAACTCAATTGCCAGATATAAATATTCCTGGCAAGTCCTGATTAGTGAATAAGTAGCCCTTTCATAACCTCTGAAAATCACACGATCCCCACAGAATCTAGTAACTAACCGGGTCCGGATAGTTTTGTACCCCTGCCTCATTCACATTCTTCTCACTGTAAGATAATGACTCCCACCGTCTGCACTTCGCCTGTGCCATATGCTCCGAGCATTAAATACCTCTGACTCTGGATCCCCCACAGTATTATCGCGTTGACACACATCCCACCTTTTGGCCTGCTCGAGAGTGTCGTTAACCCACCATTTATTTAGGGTAGCTACATTGTTGGATCTAGCTATTCAACCGGTTCCGTCTATTTCTCAATCTACTTCTCATTAGTAACATAACTCTACACTGGGGCACGTACATTTTCGCTGGTAGAGACTTTATTTCAATGTACCGCTTTATCCATTTTGCATTTGCTCTTTGTCGTGGTTCGACTTGCTTCTCTTTCGCTTGCTTCTTACCTGTGGATGAAATATCAATTTTGTAACCGATGAGAAACCGAAGGCTCGACTTGTGGATGACAAAGCTCCGAGGCTTGAATACGCGATGTCTTTTAAAAGTGCGTCCTAAAATGCTTCATGAGATAATAGTCAGGCAGTTCGACGATGGGTACATTAAAAACCTCACAACTGAAAGCACGGCGTTGTTTCCCTTCACGTGAGGATTGGACTTAATTTTCAACGCGAGTATGAAGTAAGTACGACTCGGGTCAACTTATCTGCCCAATGTCTTAAAGGTTGCTGAGACTTCTTTGACATTGTCCACGGAACACTTATGAAATTTGGCTTATTCAAGTGACAGTTATACTAATTTTACCTCCTTAAAGCCGAATGTTTCTTTTTGTCCGGGTGGACTAAACTCTCGAACAGGTCTCTTTATGTATCCTTGTTTTTTGCTATATGGCGACTGGGTAGAACAAGAGGAAAGTAGGCCAGATAAAACAAGCAACACTTTAAGTGGAAACCATGAAATTAGACCGGATTCATTGGAACTATGGTGCTTGTGCAATTTAGGAAAGACCTGAGCAATTTCGGCAGGATGAGCAACCCGAAGAAGCTGCTGAATAATAATCACTTCAATTGAACTGAGTAGCTGTCATGCAGTACTGTAGCTAGTATTATGTTCTGTCCTTTAATATCGAGAAGTGTCACAGATGTCTAAGTTTCCTGAGCAGTTGGGCTTTACACTGCAAATGCCGAATCTCCAAGGGTAAGCGTAGTCGAAGGGGTACAGTTGTAAGGCGAAAATGATGGGAAAACCCAAAAGAAGGTGATGGCGTCTCCCATTCGGCTATGCCGTTTGAGCACAAAGTTTAGCCACAAAGCATGCAGCACGCACAGGCATTTACCGACCCTCGTCAGGAGCTGATGTCAGAATGGCATTGCAGTCGCTCGAACTCTGAACACATTTCTCTTTCAAGCAAAGAGTGAAGGCAGCGGACAAACATTAATTACGGTCGTGATCCATTTAGAGGCTGGGGTTTGGCGTCGTGGCATCTACTCGTGATGCTTTGTCTCCGTCTCCCATTGTACCTTGTAGTTTAGTTGTCATTGGCCATTGTGATTTCTTCATGTATTTCTGAACCTGTATATATCTCCTTCTACCAAGGATCTTGCCCCAGCAAAGGAAATCAATGTGACTTTCTCAACGTAGTTGTCCATGATGATATTCGAGTGGTGGTGTTTACTTTCTCACAATATGGTGGATACCTCACGCGTTGTTCTGTCTTGAAGTCTGCTGGGATTACGGAATATTGAACTTGGTTGGGGAGTAATGGCACTGTATTGTGACATACTTTCAAATGGATGATAATCCGTTGTGCTAAATTGGTAAAAATTAATGGAGTTGACATCTCAGTCTTGCCAGATGGGTGGTTCAATCCAAATATGGACTTTGATATCTTCATCAGAAGGTTCTCGAAATAGGTGACGTAGATTATTGTAAGAAATGTAAATAAGATAACCAATATGTAATCAATGTCGTCATGTGATTTGTTCTTTGATGTATCATTTTTTAAGACAAGTTAAAATATCTCCCGATAAACAAAACTTTTTTAATTGTAATGCAACCCATATAGTATGATGAGATCTTCCCATTCTTACGCTTTACTCTTAAAACTTTAACTCAAATTCCATGACATAAAAATTGTATTTGTGGTGACTTGCTCTAGGAACTGATAAAGTTCCCCATCTACTTGTGTTACTTAGATCTCGTATTCAGTTTTGAGAGTTGAAAGTTATCTAACGCTCACATCTCTTTCCATCATTCTGGAATAAAGAACAACAAGATAAGTTCATTTGTTCCTAAACCAATTAAAAATTAGTCGTAATAAAATACTGTGGACAAAATCTTGATCATCGATATTGAGAATTTTTTTAAATAGATCAAAAAATTCTCCTTACTTTAATGAAATCACTTTAGACTTGTACTAACTTATGGTTTCACAATAACCTAAACGCACAACGTAGAGCCCAATATTAATCATAATAGATTATCCAAGAAATGTTTTTATCGGGTAAGAAAAAATGAAAAGGTAAACAAAGTACCAAATTTATCATTTCAAGATAAAACTTCTGGCCCAAAAATGATAAAGCACTTTTCATTTTATTTTCTACTTAAAACTATTTTGATCTCAAAATCTCATTGTTACAACTTACCACAACATAGCTTCAGATTTCTAACGTTCAAATTATATCACGAAATTATATACACGACTGAGTTTATATCCACATCATAAATGCAATCAAGAAATTAACTAATGTTTCATCTCATATCACTTGTCACGTATCAATTCTTTTCATACAATATATAAACCTTGTTGGAAAAAAATTTTTACAGTTAATACAGAATATATGAAAATTTATTTGGCATCAATATCTTAATTAAAATAATTCCAATTATCAATAATTTCATAGCCCAAATAAGCTTCACTTTCATTAGATATCATTTTTAGCATAAAATGATTGATATGTTTGCATCATAATCACATCACAAATAAAATGTAGTTCAAAATAAAATCTCGTGAATCTATAAAAGATATATTTTTTTATATCTTATGAAGATTATAATATTAATCTAATAAAAATTTCATATCACATAAACCATATCATATAAATTGCCCTAGAGATTATACACATTCACATATTAGTCATTTGGCAATACAACATGAATCTATCCTAAACTTTTGCATGCAGCAATAATACAACAAATTAATATACAACATCATAGTAGTTATATATGATTTTTTTGTCTGTCTACATTTTCATGCACATTATGTTCAATGAAAATATTAATCTACTCTTTAAATTATCCAAAAAGAAGTTCTTTTCAATTTTAAAATATATTTTAAAATATATTCATATTCAAATTTGTATCATCTATTTATTTCATCTATTTTTTATCATCAAATATGACGTAAATAAATTATTTCAATACTTAATTAGATATTGTATCATAATCCTAGTTTTGCTATTTGCTTCAATCATCTTGTGTAATCATGTTTGTGTAAACGTTAAAACTCAGGATCCACTCATCATTCAGTCCCACCAGCGACACAAAAGTATAACCTGATTCACCCTCTCAAGGGCTACGTCCACGGGGAATAGCGTATAGGCAGGCATGGTTCAAATAATGACCGTATATGTCGGAGCCTAAATGACCTAAAAGTCCACCAGTTTATGCGCCTAAACTGAAATGGGCGGGATTCGGAGCCTAACCTAATCAAGAAGTCATCACCCAATAAGAAATTGACACGGAGTACTCCCTAAAATAGAGTTTTGGCTCAAAGAGAATATTTATAGAACAGTTTTCGTCTGTCAGAGCATCTCACTCTCCCGTTCAAGTTACTCCTCCTGGTCGTCAGCCCCGGAGTTCCTGTTGGAGTTCCTCTTCTACCTCCTGTTTGTCAGCCCGGAGTTCCTGTTCGAGTTCGACCTCCTGTTCATCAGCCCGGAGTTCCTGTTCGAGTTCGACCTCCTGTTCGTCAGCCCGGAGTTCTTGTTCGAGTTCCTCTTCGTTCACATTGGATCCGGTCCAGTCCCGTCGAGTTTGCGCCGAGCGAGAGTGAGCAACTTAGCCTCGGTACAAGGTCAGGTGTTTTGCGTCTCACAAATTCTTGATAGCTTTTCAGGAGGTTCTGGGTTTTTCCAGGTTTGTTGCTAGCTTCCGAGACTTGGACTTTCTCTCCTTGTGTAGATCGAGTTTTCGTGTGCTACTCCAAGATGCACATCTTTCGATCCGAGGTAACATTCTCTCGAAATGTACTACCGATAAGAAGGGGTTCACGCACTCGCTATTAAGACCGAATATAGCCAGAAGCACACTGTGTCGACCAATCGTTCTCCGATAATGGTTTCCAATTTGTATAATCAAGTTTGGGGTCAAGGAAAACTTCATCTGCTTTGTAGTTCTACCAAGGATCGCATCTTGCATCACTTCGCAGCAAAAAACGGTGATATTGAGCTTTAATCTTTGCTATCAAAAATGTGATCATGTTGTTTCATAACATAGGAGCTTAGCCTTTCAAAGCAGCTGGTAGACCAGCACTTTCTAGAGTATGCTACACGCTGAGAGTTGTCATGACATTGTTAGCACATACTCCGACGTTTGATCTCTCCGTTTGATCTCATACGCCTCAAGCGCTTCTGTAGTCACCCGGATTCGCAGTATATAGATACCCTGGCTCATATGTTGCGTATGGCACTGCCGAGGAGAAGTATCTTGTGTCAACGAGAAATTTGTCCTTTTTTATTCAGAAAGCTGTGACAGGATCTCGTTGTAGGTCATAATTCTCACTCCTGTGGACAGTAAGTAAGCACTGCACAATCTCAAAAAACTGACAGACCGCAGTTTAGTGCCTGTTTCGAACGGCTGGCTGCCTTTGTGCGTTGTCTGTTCGCCTAGCTTCCATTGCAGAGGGTGGAATTGAATAGGGTCGGAAG